TATAACATTCTTGTAAAACTGCCTATTTCATGCTGCCTTTTACGAAATGTTCTCTACTCTAACGGGAAAATCAGAACTATACAAGGCATAATCAGCCCTTGTGAATAGTTTTTAAGTTAAAGTTTTAAAAATTTATAATTTATGATATCAAAACAATGTATTAGAGATAATACTTAACTTTTTGATACACAGGAAATATAAATACCAAAAATCTTAAAAAACTATTAAATTTTCTGCATCACAGTACATGGCCCTACTTAAACCATACTGCAAATTTCTTTATTATGTTACTTTCAGTTTTTGAAACAAAACATGTTTTAGCTTCTAATTCTTACATACTAGAAATCAGAAATTACGTTGAAGAGGAAATACTTGATAGTATTCTTTACCAGTGCATGCATGAACTTTTATAATTTCCTAAACATATTTATCAATGTCTAATTCTAGACCTACAATTAGTATTTTCTCCTAGGATATATATTTCATTATTCATATTTTATATCTTATTCTTGATTTTTTCCTAAAACATGAAATTTTAGAAGTGCTGATCAGTTTACTGCAGAATTTGTTTTGTCAGCAGATGTTAATTTTAGCATTTTGAACTGAAGAAGTAGAGAAAGGTAGAAATTTGCTAAATTGTATCATATCACAACATATTTTAATGCAGATTATCAAAGTAAATACACAGGTAAAATAATTCTTCGTGTAGTTTATATTTCTCCTAAAATTAATTTATAAAACTAGTTCAAGGCATTAAACAGAACAAAGTTTCCCCAGATAATGATAAATGATACTTGCACAGTGGTTTCCATGTATATGGGATTTAATACTTTGATTCCAAAACATTATTTTTGGCTCTGGTACGTTAATTAAAAAGTGTTTTGTAACTGAAAACAAACAAACAAACAATCATACTCCTTAACTCTTAAGTTAAAACCCAGCAAGAAACAGCTATTCCTGAAAAATTAAGATGCCTATAACTTACTTGAAAAAAAAGAAATCTGTAAGCACAGATTGTAATATTTTGCTGATCAGTTCGCCCAAGGTCTTTATTTTAAAAAATGTTGAGTGGCTTCCTTAAACTTATGTAACTAGTTTGTGGCAGAGTCAGAATAAGACCCCTAAGTTTAATTCACTTTTGCTTTTTATTCTTTCAATCTTCAACTATTTAACACAGTTATTTTTAAAAAGTTTAATTACCTATTAGAAAAGAGAACCTTAGATTTTTAACCTACAATGAAGGAAGTGATTACAACACTATATACTAATATTCATCTAAGATAGCAAAGCAATGTCATTTACCTTAAATTTACGTCTCTGCTCTGCACAGCTGTTGAAGAACCACAAGTCTGTCTCATGGCTGTAAATGTAACAAGAACAATAATGCGACCAATTTTCATACCTAAACTAAATTAAGTAGATTTGTCATAGGCTAGAAAACTGATAATGTATTTTACAAAAAAAATTTAAAATTTATAGATTATGGAAGTGTGCATGTATGCATATGCATATGGAAATGTGTGTCTCTGTGTACATGTGTGTTACTAAATAGAGTAAAAGCAATTTAATCTGGAAATTAGTTTCATGAAATTGATAGCATTACTTATTCTCTGTGGCTAACTTTTCTTTTTACAGACCAATATGGGGATACCAAGTTTAGGAAGTGTTAGGAATAGATATTAATAAATATCAAAAATCAAAATAAGAGGCTGTCTTCAGCTGTTATAGTATGTTTTCTGGTGTACAAAGTAAGCATGTAAAGAAGAAACATCTGGTAATGTTTAGGTTGATATCAGCTCCCATTTGCATCACAATCTTTATATATTATTCATCAATATGTCATTAATCAATGTACCTACTGGTTTGAACCTATTCAACTGGTGTTTTATGTAATGAATAGAAAATGTAAACATGTTTCAAATACATATATTCAGATACCTGTACATGAAAGTGAAATTACTATACAATTGATACTCAAGCTTGTCAGATGTGATTTTTTCTTTCCATTTTTGTATTAGATAGGTTAAATATCTATGCCATCTGTAGCGCAAAACCCTGAAAAAATGTAAATGAGAAAGTAATAGATAAATTCTAGTCCACTAGAAATAGACTATACCATGTCACACTTCAAATCTGGCTACCTCTTCTCAACATTTAAAAGAAATCAGTTGAGTGTAACAGGACCTAATATTGTTCTTGTGACTTGAGCCATCAAAACAGATTTTTTAAAAATTGTATTTTTTCAATCTTTATGAAATAGTTCTCCTTCAAAACTATATTTTAAAACAAAAAGTGCATACTCTCCTTTGGTCCTCCAAAAACGTGTTATGCCTGAAAAAGCACAAATCACCATGATCTATTATCAGCACCAAATACCTAGCCTTTGCAAGTGCAGATTTTGAAACATGTTCAATTATCTTTATGAATTTTAAGAAATAATCTACACCAACTCTATTTTTCAAAGATTGGTTAAACTCTTAGTTAAACAGAAAAAGAACCAGACTGTGAGAAAATCGTAAAAGTTTTAAAGTGTTAATTTCATACTAAATGGTTAAAATTTTTAACAAAAATATTCAACCCGTTTCTTTAACATAAGTGGTAATAGTGCATGCAACTCACATTAAATAGCATTTGCGGATGCAAGGATAAATATTTCCTAATATCCTCATTTAACAGCATATGTAAACTAGTATAAAATGCTACTAGGTTTTAAACACAATCCCAGTAATGTTTATAGTTGCTAAACTTATCAAATATCAAATACTATGAAATACTAAAACTTTAGGCTCACATTATATTAATAGCAGTGTATATTTTAGTAAACAGCTAAGTCTTCATTCATTATTTCTAAATTCTCATTCATAAAAACCAACTGTTCATTCCTATGACATTTTGGCATTAGACCTGATTAAAATACAAGATAATGAAAAATGCTATAGTTTTATAATTTATACAATGGAGATATATTAATATTAATATGCATCATAAAACACTAAATATAAGTGACACAAGAAAAGTCTTTGTAGTAATGTTTAGCACCTGAAATTGTTAAAAGGTATTTAAATTCCTTTCAATCACCCTTTCACAATACAAATAACAAAACTGAGGACTTCTGCTCAAAATTTTATTTATACATCTGGTACATGAGCAACAATTTCTGATTTTACAGTCATTAATATTCCTACATTATATGTATTATCTAAGAAAAAGTATGTATTTTTTAGTTAAAGTATCAAATCTTGCCTTCCAATACAACAACAACCAAAAAAAAAAAAAAAAAAAAAAAATAAAAAAAAGAAAGAAAAACTAAAGCCCAGCCATTCTTTCCAGAGATGCCCTGGTAACCAGCAATAAAGAAATTTCTACTGGACTTAGCTTTGGGGAGGAAGGAACAACTACTTTGTCTACTTTGTCAGAGACATGTTAAAACAGAAGTAGGACAATATGTATGTAGAGTTTTTCCAAAAGTCAAAACAATAAACTCCTACCTTTGGCTTATGCAGCCAGCATCTAAGCCCCCTTTGCTATACCAACAACAGTGCAAAATTTCCCTCTGAAGCCACAGTGAGGGAAACATTTCATTTGCTATCTTCTGTGACTTCTATGCAAATTTTTCTCTGTCATGCAAATGTATGGAGAGGCTGTCTTGGAATTAGACAATTCCAATGGAAAGACTCCAATCACTGGCATTACTTGGGGAGAGATGATGGTGAGGAAAGTGTGTCACCATAAAATTACTGATTAGTTTAAACAAAAGAGTGTGACATTTATTTAAAAAAAAAAAAAAAAGGAATCTTAAACTCAGGCTGTTTCAATACAACTTTTGCAACCATGGCAGACATTTGAACTTTAGACTATTGGAACACATCCCCTCTCCACAAGTCCTCCTTCTTCCCACCCACCTCCCACAAATGGGTTTGTTCCCAAGAATACATATTCTCATCTCAAATTTGTCTAGGGACCAAAAATTTAATCCAGTTTTTACATAATAAGTAGTTTCTGGATTGTGTAGATCAGTAGCCTGTAATTCTGTCATACATACTAAGCTTCAGGAGGCCATCATATACAAGACTTAGTTACTAACCTCTAGGAGTACACCTGAAAATGAAAATAGACAGCTAGGCCATTTAAAAAAAAAAAAAAATCCAAGTTTATTTTGGTAAAATAAAGAAACAAGAAAGATGCTTACTTTTTTTTCAAACTAAGCTTGCCTTATTAGACATGTACATAGCACATGATGCAGGAAAAAACACTGCTTATCTTTCAACAGAGCTGATAAACATTTTGAAAGATGTTTTATGTAACCTTAGATTCTACCTTCCAAACATTTAATAATTACACCCTAAAAATGTTTCTTCCCCCCAAACAACGTCCTACTTACTCTGGGTAAGATTATATAAAACAATGGTTATATTACGTAACAAAAAGTTACTTTAAAGGACATACATACTATCAGTTTCACAGGACAAACATAGTGAATAAGGACAACAAACTCCAGAATGTGTTTTTATAACTGTAGCAACAGCAATAACTCCTTGGCAAACTCAAACAGTTTTTTTGGCAACTCTGGAGGTTTTCTGCATTTGTCACTTGGATACAACTGCGGAGGGTTGTCTAAGACTGCTTTGTCTCCTTCCATACCATCTTACTATGACTTTGCTAGTAAAGAAATTTCACATTTTACTTTAACTTGTTTGTGAATAAAATTCTGTTAAAATCCCACAACTGAGTCTTATACAAAACTCTTCATGCCTACGTTTACCAAATGTGGTTTTTTATATAATTTTTATAATAAGTGACCTTGTAGACTTCTGAAATCTATGGGAATAGAAATTTTGTTTTCCTTTCAAGAAGATAAAATGAGCTCTCTCTTTGAATTAAAATTACTGACATATACAAATTTAAAAATTTTCTGAATATAGACAACTGGGTCTGCACATTTGTTATCATTATGAGCATCTTTTAAAATAAGATCCCAAGGACAAGAATGCTTTACTAACCTGCAGTGGTCTCTGTTTATCACTGCTCTTAGGAGATTTCAATCCACTTGTTTGCTGCTGTAAGAGAAGTTGTCTTGCTGCTTGGAGAGCCTAGAAGTAAAAAGGGAGCAATATCTAAATACTTTGTTGACAGGTAAATTGTTTATCAATAATTATTGCTTGGTTAATAGTAAAATGCTTCAATGCATAAGAACCCCTTTCCCATCCTCCTTTCTAGAAAGAATTATCAAAGATCTTCTAATGTGAGATAAAAATTCCACATATCACACATATACAACTTTACTTAAAGTCATGGTGATACATGTAATCCTGCAGGAAATAAAGTTAATTTGTTTAAAGTGCTTAAAGAGGAAAAAATCATAAACTGCATCAATAACCTCATTTCCACAAGGAAGTTGTCTTTGAGTGTTCAACTAAAATGCCCACTCCCTTTTAAATTATCATTCAATTTGCATTTTCATATTACAATTTTGAAGCAAAAGCAGTAGACTTCAAGTGTTACCGGAAGCTGTAATTAAATTTGACAAATCAACATCAGATTATCTTGAAAGTGAATTAATAAGGATTTTCACTAAAGATTAAAAACACTTTTTTTTGTACTTACAATTCAAGGGGAAACCTCTCCTTTGACAAAATAAAGTGCAGTTTTAATGCCAAATAAAATTGAGTGGTTTTCATTTGCATTCTTAGCAAAATCAGAGAACAAAGAAATTACCACTCAACCAATCAGGTTTGTTTCTATGTGTGACAGAATACCAATCAAAATAGAAGATGTTTTCATTTATTTTTATGTTTTCTTTTTCCCCATTCAGGAAAATAAAACTTAACATAAGAAATTAATGTAAGCGTTTCTTTTACAGGAGGAGGGACAGCTTGATGAGTGTATTATATAAACTTATATAAAATGAATGCCATAAAAAATACATATTGAGATGTTTTAAAAGCAGCAGTGTAAACTGAAGGGAAAAAAAAAACTTTTTAACAGCTTCTACTTTGCAAGCTCATTTTTTTCTCTCAATAACTGAGTTCAATGAACACTAAAGATGAAATTTTTCAGCATATACGATTAAAATAAATCATTGCCCTCCTCTGTTTTTCAGTGTTTTAGAATACGAGGTAAATTCTTCACGATGGGAGAAATATCTTAGATCAATATTCTACTATAATAATTGAGATTCCACGCTGATAAAAAGTACAATTTTGATTGGAATCAATGATCTGGTTTTTAAGAGAGTTTCTAGTATCCATGACAACAGTTGCTTTGACAAGATGTGCATATGGCATTACACTGCCAGCTGGTGTGAACAATGTTTGAACTACTGCATTGAGATGCTGTGCAAACAGAAAAAGTTGCCACGTCTTAACCCTCAGGGAAGGCAGTCATCCCCTGATCAATTATGAAAAGACAGAGAGAGGGCTGCTACAGTCTGGCTCCAAGCAAGTTTTCTGAGAAGGCAGGCAGACATAGAAACCAGAGTAAACACACTGAAGGCACTAGCACCGTCCCCTAACAACACTGATTTGTCTTCCCGGAGCAGGATCTGGCATAGTTTGTAAAGCACACTTCTTACATTGGGAGACACACTCACTCACAGCAATCTTTTGTGTTTTTTTTTTTTTTTTTCAATTTTTCAAGTAATTAACAACCTAAGTGTTTCTAAGGATGACACATTCCTAGTGAACACAGTCAATTTTATTAGAAAGTTCAATTTAAAAAAAAAGAAGACCAAATAAAAAATTCCACAAATACTTTAGTGTCGCAAAACTTAGTTTAAAATATTTCAGTTACTATTCTAAATAATACTGCTCTCCTTTTTTACTTGCAACCTATGAAATAACTCCAAATGACATTTTTCAAGTGGAAATTACTATAGTGTGACTTAGGCTGTGTTGTGTCTATGTGAAACTCTCAAAAAAAAAAAAAATCAGTCATCTATTTTCACCTTCGATGCCAAAATCCACTCAAATTTTGCCTAATTTTTTTCACAAGATTTTTTTTCCCCTTTGAGTTCATTAGTTTATTTTGTATACATGGAGACTTAGTTAGTTTATATTTAATTCTGTAGCCATTTATTATTCTTAAAGGACTCTAATGAGCACAGTTCTGAATCTTGAAATCATGAATGGCTGGGACTGAAAGCACTCTTAGAAATCATCTCCTCTGATGCTCTCAGTTTAGCAAATGAGAATAATGAGGTCTAGAGTATCAAGTGTTTTGTTCAAGGTCTCCTGCTTCCAGGCCAGAGTGCCATACTGTTTCTGTCCCATCAAAGAAACCATTAGATGACAATGAGTAAAACTCTAGTAAAGGAGACGCATGGCACCATGATGAATTATTTTCACCCGCAAAGAGAGAATATTCATTCATCAAAACCTAAAGGAAAAACACAATATAATCTTTCTATGTTTGAATTTGTTAAGTGTTTGACTGGAACAACTACCACTGAACGTACATTGTTTTTGTGGCTAAGTGTTCCTGCCGTCCTTGACTTGGGTTTCACCATGTACTCTACCAATACCTGGTGGAATTCTAAACTCTTACAACACTCTGATCATCTGATCAGTTATCACAAACAAACTGAAAATTCTAGAGCTAGACACAAGCCTTACCAATTGTTTAGCCTAGGCTCCAAATCCTATAGACAAGTAACTGAAGAAGCAATACGATGATAATTTGATTAAAGTCCAAAGCAGTAGCACAGTTTGGTCAAAATTTCAGGCTCTTGTCTCCCAAGCCTAGGGACCTATTAATTTTATCACCCTGCATGATGTTCATTTGGCTCAACCCAAACAAGTAATCCAATGGAATATGTAACACCCAGTGGCTATAGAAAGACACTGGAAAATTAGATCTATTAGATCTGCAGCTCACCAAAATTTCACTGGACAAAAGCATGCATGTACAGTGTTTCTAAAGGAGTAGTAATTATAATGGAGTATGACCAATGGCCAGTTAAAGTTTTAAAGTACCCTGGTTTCCATAGACATTTAGAGAAATCTTTAAAAATAGTCCAGGATCATCTTTCAATACAAATTCTTATGAAAAAGGACCACTTGTCTATTTCAGCATTCTTTTAGTAGCAGTGGAGACTGCAATAGTAAACATAGAGGTGGGAAGACAAAAAACAACTCCACGAGATCAGGATGATTTAAAACTCTCAGGCAGGAATCTTTGGCAGTTTGTGTTCTCAATACAGGCATCACAGGGCATTTTTATCCCCAGTATTCTGGATACCATTTTAGGACTGAATTTCAATAAACAATTGCTCAGAGATGTTTAGTTCATCTTTCTAATTTATTATTGTAGCGATGCAAAAGATGAAAGATTATGAGATAAGGTACTTTCATCAATAGAAGGTATTAGGTGTCAAATTACATAAAATATTAATTTGAAAATCATTTGCCCACTTCAATTGGTAAATAGAAAAGATAAATTCCAGGGCCAGGCATTAAGTTCTATGAACTGTTTATACGCTCTCGCTCTGCAAAAACAAAACAAAACAGAAAAAAACTTGGAACAAAAGGCAAGAGATGTTTACAAAATCTCCTTTAATAATGACTGAGTGTGATTCTGGTGAACAACAAGAAAGAGGTTTCTAAGGCAGCCAAACCATATTTAGTTTCCAAAAACACATTTGTTTTGAATTAAGAGTGCACTTTACTTAATGAAGTGATCTAATTTTAGTAAAGTTAAAAAAAATTAAGGTAGGACATTTTAAAAATCAGAATCAGATTAAATTAAAATATCTTGAAAAGATGAATAAAAATCTTTGTAATAGATTAAAGATATATTTTTTGTTAGACTGCAGAGGTGTATGGGAATGTGCAAGTTTTTCAGAACTCGGTGCATCTTGCTTTAAAAAATGTGTTACATTTTATATTAACTAACTGGAATTTAAATAAAAACTTGAAAAATATTTATGGAAAACACCATTCTTAATAGTTACTGTCTAATTTCAAATAAATTAAAATTCTGCAAGAAAAACAAAAGTTCATATCACCCTTCCACAACATGGTAACTTTATGCTACCTATGGTTCTCATAGTACAGAGGTCATTATGAGAATTAAGAGTAAAAAAGCTTTGTAACCTGTCAGATCAATACTGTTTTCTTCTTGAAGAACACTGAAAACTTTCACCATGACTGTAATTGTTTGAGAATAGCTTAGAAACACCCAGTGAAACAAAAAATGTTGAGTATTCTAATGTTTATAAATAACTTTTTTTTCCCAAGTAAATATATGTATATTTTGGGAGAAAACAGACATCACTCATATCTCTCCCCATAAAAGTAGGAATGCTTAACCTATCAGCCTGTTGCATTTGAGACATTAAAATGAAAAATGACATCTACACCCATTAATATCTTCAATGTATAAACAGCACAGCATGACACATTCTTGAGAGCTGAAGGCTACAAAATCTCTCTGAAACATAAATAACAAAGCACTCAGAAGCATATTTGATGTTGATATTCATCTCTGAGAAAAACACTGCTGCCTAGGCTTCTTATGAAAATAGATGCAGCCCAAATGGATCTCCTGTAATTGGTTTCAGATAGCGAGGTCAGAAGAAATATGATACAAGGAACGATTATGTGGAACAGGCAAAACAAGAATGTTTACACAGGCACTCCCTAGTTATACTGACAAGGGGTGTATACTTTGCAGATAACCAGAACCAAAAAAAAAAAAAAAAATTGCCAGCAGGACAATCAGAATTTTGCTCCTCATACTCACATGTTTTAACCTTTAACTTATAATGTCTTTAACATGTTACTTTGAATACTGAACATAAAAATAAGTTTTCAAACAGAATTTCATTGTCTAATTATTTTCCCAAGTATGGTTGATAAAAAGCGTATTCGGATCCTTCCACAAAGGATATGAATTCCTATTCTGTTTGGCTTTTCTTCGCATTATGTTCCCACTAAAGAGAATATACTGATAAATGTAATCTGAAGTCTCATAATGCTATTTAATAGAAGAAAATTAATCATCTAATTGTCATATCTTATTTTCAAACAGCAATCTATCAGAGTGAAATTATGCATCTGTAGCTATTGACCTTTCATTTTATCACGGCTGATCC